CACTTCTAAGAGTTTTTTAGTTGAGTCCCTGGTGTTTTCCAGATATACAATCATATCATCTGCGAAAAGTGAAAGTTTGATCTCTTCTGTTCCTATATGGATGCCCTTAATAGCCTTTTCTTCCCGAATTGCAGTAGCTATTTTGATGGGAATTGCATTTAATTTATAAATCATGCTTAACAGTATGTAGACATTTTAACCACATGGGTTCTTCCTATCCATAAGCATAGGGTGTTTTTCCATTTATTTGTCTCATCTATGATTTCTTTTATCAGTGCTTTGCCATTCTCTTCATGCAAATTTTTTACCCCTTTGCCTAAATATATTCCTAGGCATTTTATTTTATTTGCAGCTATTGTGCATGGCTTTGAGTCCTTGATTTGGCTTGGCTGTTTTTAGTGTATACAAATGCTACTGATTTCAAGAAAACTTCATCATACATATTTTAGGCAATAGACAAAGATTGGTTATAGAAGTCAGTTTTTTTCCTAAATTTCAGACTATTACAGGGATATGAATATTAGAGTTACATGAATTGGTTTTGTGTAATTTAAGTCAAAGTTATAAGTGTACTCATCACCCAGATGTGTGCGTTGTTCCTGGTACGTGTGAATTTACCTGTTCTCCCCTCCCCTTTCCCTTCTCCTTTCTTTCTGTTGAGCTTTACTACCATGTGTTCACATGGGTGTTTACCAATTAGTTCCACATTAATACTGAGTACAGGTAGTGTTTGCCTTTCTATTCTTTGATACTTTGCTTAGAAGAATAGTCTCCAGTTGAATCCAGGTTGTTAAAAAAGGTTCTCCACATTTTTTATGGCTAAATAGTACTTCATAGTATACCACATTTTATTAATCCACATATATGTTGATGGGAACTTGGGTTGATTCCTCGTCTTTGCAATTGTGAATTGTTCTGTAATACACATTCAAATGTATGTGTCTTTTTGATGAAATGATTTTTTTCACTTTTGGGTAAATAACCAATAGTGGGACTCCAGGTTCAAATGGTAGGTCTGCTTTTAGTTCTTTGAAGTGTCTCCATGTGACTTTTCATAGAGTTTGTACTACTTTGCAGTCCCACCAGCAGTGTATAAGTGTTCCTTTCTCTTCACATCGTGCCAGCATCTATTGTTTTAAGACTTTTTGATAAACACTATTCTCTCTGGAGTTTGGGGATATCTAATTATGGTTTTGATTTGCGTTTCTCTGATGATTAGATATGCTGAGCATTTCTTCATATGTTTATTTGCCATTAGTCTATCTTCTTTTGAAAAGCTTTTGTTCAT